ACTTTTGGCTTATGTCCTGAAGGTCTGTACTACTTTGGAATATCTTTGTGTTTTATAGAACATGTCTTCTATTCTAACAGAAATTCTTACTTTCTTTGCCTTCTAAACCCAAATGCATTCAAGAATAATCCCTAGCACATAGTAGGTGCTCAATAACTATTTGTTGGCACTTTAGCTTTCTACATCTCTTCTTACTACAACAATGTCTCCTTAAGCATATGCGATCTGACAGGTAAGTTCACGAACTCATCCTAGAAAAAGTGCTACATACCTTACTGCTGAATATCACTATGGTCTCCTTTGAAGTACTCCTCTTGGGAAGCTATGCACCTATGCCAGCACCTAGTCCACCTGTCAAAGCAATTTTGGAACTCTTTTACTAGAATGACCATCAGAGCTGTCATCATATTACCCCTTGATGTCCTGAATGTCATCAAAATGTCTTCTTCAATATTTCCTTTATATTCAGGTAAAGAAAAAAGTCATTGGGGACCAGATCAGGTGAGTAGGGAGGATGTTCCAATACAGTTATTTGTTTAATAGCTAAAAACTCCCTCATAGACAGTGCTGTGTGAGCTGGTGCATTGCTGTGATGCAAGAGCACCTTTGGGACCATTTTTGCACATACCTTTCTCATGCCAAAATCTTCCTAACTATTTCTCTATCAATGTTTATTTGGTTTACTATGCTTCTCACAGGCAGCAGATGAGTTTCATGTACAATTCGATGCATTTTTGCAATGTTTTCATCTGTTCTGCTCATTACTGGCTGTCTTGACCTCTCTTCATCAGTGACGTTTTCTCTCTCCTCAGAAAAACATTTAATCCATTTGTGCACTGCTGTTTTCTTCATGGCATTATCCCCATAAACTTGGACTAACATGTCCCTGATTCCACGTACTCTCTTGCCAAGTTTAACTAGAAATTTAATATTTGTTCATTGTTCTAATTCAAGCTCCAACATTCTTGTAATGGCACACAAAAACACACAACAACAATAATGAATGCCCCTCAGCAAGATACTGTCACATGTCAACAGGAACACAGCTGTGAGACTCTGATATACCAAGGTTATGAAATTTTACTGAGTCGTTTGTACAATGCTGCCAACATAAGCACACAGTGGCAAGTTTGCCAACTTAATTGTCAAACCTCGTAATTTTTAATGAATGCCAAATACTGTTTTGTGATTTTTTTACAACAGTTGCTTACATAACTCTTTCTTTCTCTAAAATCCAGTGATTTCACAGTCTGATCATTGTGGAACCCAACTAAAACTAAAAATGAAAGTAACTGATGCTTCAGATTAGTTTCCTATTATCTGTTTAAGATGGCAGGGAAATCACCACACTGTTTCTAAAAAAATCTTAAGAATCAGCCTCCCATATGACCCAGCAATCCCCTTCTGGGAATATACCCAGAGGAACTCAAATCATTCTACAGAAATTATACCTGTACACGCATATTTATTGTAGCACTCTTCACAATAGCAAAAATATGGAACCAACTGTGCTGTCTGTCAAGAGTAGACTGAATTAAAAGATGTGGTTTATATGCATGATGGAATATTACACAGCTATAAAGGAGAAAATTATGGACTTCACAGCAACTTGGATGGATTTAGAATCCATCATACTCACTGATCTATCACAGAAACAAAGAACTGAGTACCAAATGTTCTTGCTCTTTTTTTTTTTTTTTTTTTTTGAGTTGGAGTCTCACTGTCGCCCAGACTAGAGTGCAGTGGCCACTTCCAACCACCGCAGCCTTGACCTACTGGGCTCTGGCAATCCTTCCGCCTCAGCCTTCCAAGTAGCTGGAACTACAGGCATGCACTACCATGCCCAGCTAATTTTTTTATTTATTGTAGAGATGAGGTCTTGCCTGCCCAGGCGGGTCTCGAACCCGCAGGCTCAGGCAATCCACTCACCTCAGCCTCCCAAAGGCACGGGATTACAGGCTGAGCCACCGAGCCCGGCTCCAGATGTTCTCACTCATATGTGAACCCTGAATATTTATCATGATACTACATGAAAGAGATTGGCAGTAGCAGGTCACTGCTGGGGGTAGGGGAGCACATAACTCTAATAAGGGTACCTGATTTCAAACTAGGTTCACCTTCAGTGAGGACCAAGGGGAGGCTCAAACTTCACCTGTACAATAACCATTTATGTACCCAACCTTGAATTGTCCACAACATCTTTAACATTAAAAAAAAAATGGCAGGAAAACATGACACATCTGAGAAATCTTTTTGTCACAAATGTTTGATAGGTGCATTACTGGAATCAGATGTAGCGAGGTAACTGTCAGGAAGTTGCTTAATCCCTTTGGCTTCAGTTTTCTTAAATCTTAAGTGTGAGAGCAACTCTACTGATCTCTAAAATCCCTTCCAACTCTAAGACTTTTATGATCTTACAAGTCTCAGGCCACCCCCTCCGCAGTCTTGTTTGTTAATCTGTAAAATGAGAGGTAGACAAGTATCAAAGTCCTAACAATCTGTGACTTTAGAGGAATGAACTTTTAGCTATCCAGAAAATCTGGCTCTTCAGAAGGGCCATTCCTCCAGGGTATTGATATACATTAATTCCTAGTTAAAGGGACTAATTTAGTACCTAGGAAAACATTTGGGACTGGTTAAAACGGTGGAAAAATCCTAATTCTTTGTGGGGAGTGTTGACTTTAGTGCATACAATTACCATTTTGTTGTTGCGTGTTTTTCTCCGTTAGGGTAGTGTTCTGTTTGGGATAATGGAGGTGTGTGTACGCATACATCAGATAGGAGCCTGACAGTGTTAAGTTTTTCTTCCAGCAGTACTAATCCCCTGTTCCTGTTCCTAAGGGCACCATTGATAAGTGGTATCCAAAGTAACACTGCAGAACAGTTGAGGTGCATTGCTGGGCTGCCCTGTATCCCAACATCTGTTCCCTGTTCCCAAAGTCTGTATTTGCAGAACTGGTTAGTACTGATAGAAAGGAACGCACTAATCTTTTGATATGAACTCCAGAAGAAGAGGATGGGACAGAGAAAGAATGAGAAGATAGGAACTTCGAGTTAGCTGCCAGAGTGTGATACCTAGCCATGATCCTTTCTCCACATTCTTGGAAATGAGTGATAGGCTGGTGCCTGCTATTCTACATCCCAAATAATTTCACCGTATAGAACTTGAAAGATAAAACAAAGTCCCACTAATCTGCAGAGGACAGACAGCCCGATCTGACTTCTGTACTGTTTCAATCTCTGTTGCTTCCCTTCCTCAGGAATTCCTTATGCACTTCTCGTAGACTCCTATGTCTGCGATAGGGTGTCCTACTTGTCTGCCTGGTGTTCAAGCCCCCTTAAATTCTGCACACAAACACTCCTGTGCATCCAACCTTCCTTCCTTCCTTCCTTCCTTCCTTTACTTTCTTTTCTTTCTTGTCAGAGTCTTACTCTGTAGCCCAGGCTGGAGTGCAGTGGTGTGCTCATGGCCACCACAGCCTCATCCTGCTGGGCTCAGGCAATCCTTCGGCCTGAGTCTTCCAAGTAGCTGGAACCACAGGCACGTATCACCATGCCCAGCTAATTTTTTTATTTATTGTAGAGACGAGGTCTCGCCAAGTTGCCCAGGCTGGTCTCAAACCTGAGGCTTCGGGCAGTCCTCTCACCTCAGCCTCCCAAAGTGCTGGGATTATAGGTATGAACCACCACACCTGGCCTAATCTTATTTCCCAAAATTTCTCAGCCCCATTCTGAGATGCTATGATATGCCCAGTATACTGTCTTAAATTGTGTATTTATATTGCCAGGATCACTTTGTCACCCAGGCAGGGGGCTGTGGCACAATCATAGCTCTCTGCAGCCTCAAACTCCTAGGCTCAAACAATGCTCCCACCTCAGCCTCCTAAGTAGTTAGGACAATAGGTGTACCACATGCCTAGCTTCCAGTATACTTTCTTAGCATTTTTGTTCATTTTGTTGTCCCTACTTGGGGTGCTCTCCCTTCATTTGACCTCTTAAGTCCCACCCCTTTCTTCAAAATTGAACCTCGAGCTCTCTGTGCTTTGCTACTCTCAAGTCTTGGAAAACCTTCACGTACCCCCAAGTTCATTCATATTCTTCTCTGTAAAATGCATTAATTTTGCCTTCAGCACAGCTTTTGGCACTGAGAGAGTACACACAGGTACCTTTCTAAACTTTGATGGAGGCCTGAGTTTCAAAGGGCAGCCTTAATACTCAATGTATTTGAGAAGAAAGATGTGTTCTTGTTTAAGTTTGGCAAAAACAAACAGTGCTGGTAGAGGCTATAGCAGAGTATGACTGGTAGGCAGATGAGGGAGGCCACCCCTACTACATCTCATGGCTCACCCTGGAAAGTTATCGTCCAGGGATTTTATTTTCCAAAAGGATTTTGAAATAATTGAGCAATTTATGTGTTTGTGTGAGAGAGAGACTGGAAAGGAAGGGGCTGGGGTAGAGTGGGAGATATGTGGACTTTGATTGTTGAAGATCACGCAATGTTCACCTGCCCTTCCTCACCCCTTCCTAGCACACATCTTTCCTTTATCTAATCTACCTCTTCAGGTGGCCGGTCAGGCCTGCTAATTGTGATCAATCATGAGTCATTTAAAAAAATTTTTAGACAGGTTCTGTCTCTGTGGCCCAGGCTGGAGTGCACAGTGATGCTATCATTGCTCACTCCCTCAAACTCCTGGGCTCAAGTGATCCTCCTGCCTCAGGCTTCTGAGTAGCTGGGACTATGGGCGTGTGCCACCACTCCAGGCTAATTTTTGTATAGCCGGGGTCTCCCTGTGTTGCCCAGGCTGATCTCAAACTTCTGGTCTCAAGCTACCTTCCCACCTCAGCCTCCCAAAGTGTTGGGATTACAGGCTTCTCAGCCAACAACTCATTCTTCAGTTAGGTTCACAGCCAGGCCTTCAATGTCAACCTGAGAGACTTGCGATTTCTGTTCTATTTTAGCCCCATCGCTACTGTCTTTTTTTCTTCTCGCACTTTATTAGGTAAATCCCACAGCCCAGTGTACCCATGCCCTGTTGAAGATGATCTACTGCTCCCACTGCCAGGGTCTTGTGACTGTGAAGCCATGTTACAACTACTGCTCAAACATCATGAGAGGCTGTTTGGCCAACCAAGGGGATCTCGATTTTGAGTGGAACAATTTCATAGGTGAGCAAATGATTGATGTATTTGTGTTGCTGTAAATAGCGCTACTTCTGGTCACAAGGAATGCTGTAATTGTCATCTACAAAATCTCTGTTCGTTTTAGTGTTAGTTATTAAGTGATTGCCAGAATCCTGACTATGTTCAAAACTTTGAGCATAGTAAACACATTATTATAAGTAAATGTTCCCTTCTCTAATCGTTGCATTTCTGAAGACATTCAATCCAGTGACTAGCAAGTTTTAATAATGAGAAAGTGACTTTTTGATATTTCCCCCTAAACATCAGTTTGGGGTATGCTCATAAGCTCGTATCTATGTAAATGCTGGGTACTTCCTGCACGGAGCTGTGAAAGTGGCTTTTAAAATGTTATATCTGCTAACCACAACTGAATCTTCCGTAAATTGGTCAGATACCCATTGGTTATTTGGACCAGGGGAATCTGATTTAGAAACTTAGGCATTCTGTTTCTACAGAGGTTTTGGCAATAGTAGACTGCTACGGTAAAAATGGAAGAACTTTCACCATGATAGCTTAAGGGATAAGTACTCCTGCATATGCCTTCCACCTAGAACACCATTACTGTAACCCAGATAGTAATGTAAATGAAGTGGGTGGTTTCTGAGAGAGTTGGTTATGATTTGGGGGAAATAACATGCTATGGATAATTTAGATATCCAGTCACCAATTACCTTGATGCCTACTTGGTGTATATATTAGTCCTGAAACAACAGTGACCGATGTCAGAGGTCCTAATAGTGTTAGTAGGACTGTGCACACGTAAAAACGGCTCACAAAAACAAAGTCACATTTCCCCCCATCCCCCAGTCACATTTGCATAATTGCAGGATTTGAGTGTCTTTAGAAGCAACTATTTTTCACTTATTTGTCCACATCATGGGAACATGCATGCAATCTTCTGGCCTGTTTTTTGGGGGGTGGAGGGCTAAGGGTTGGGGAATGCTTTTTAGTCTGTGTGAGAGCTAATTACCATATTAACTTCGTTTGAAAGTACGTCAATAAATTGGCTCCAACAGATTCTTGAGAACACTGACACAGGGGAGAAAAAAAGATGTGAATATTAAGCACTTTGGCACAATTGTAGCCTAAATAGCTCAAAGCTAGAAGACCTGAAAAAATCTTCTACACATAGAAAAGCAGAATCCCATGAAAGGAAAAGTATAAGAGACCAGCAAAGACACACAGGCGTAAATGGCACATCATGTCCAGAATGAAGCCATGGGAGAAATTGTTGCTTCAAAATATTTCTCATGAAAGTAAAAGCCTATGGCATTTCCAGATCTAAAGTTGCTGTTTTTTCTTTCTCTTTTTTTAATACCACCCTCATCCCCACATCCAAATGTCAAGCTTGCAATTTACTTTTACTAAGTTGAGGTTTTAAAGAAAGTCCGTGAGCCTTTTCACTTTTCCCTATAATGTCCTATTTTTCCAGGCTAAAGAGTAGAATTTGCCATATGTTACAAAAATATGTATGGTGATAGTGATTGAGTTTTGCTAACTTTTCTACAGATGCATCAGGAATGAAGTGCAGAGGGGCATGTCCCTCGCATTATTCTGTTATTATAACATATTCAGTGAAATTACAGCTAAAGTTGTCATAGCCTTGTATTAAAATACAAATATGGAGGCCACACCTCATCAACAAGGGTACCTTCATAATGAACATTTGTATACCTAACCCTGAATTGTACCCCACATCTTTAAAATTAAAAAAAAATTCAAATACATATTTTTCCAAGACTTTGCAGGTTCATATCAAATCAAAACCATACTGTGGCTTACTTAATTAATATTTTAAATCAGTTACTCTAAAACAAAGAGGAGTTAAGTTGCTGCTGTTGTTCTTGTGGTCTATTTTAAAAATTGCCCTTTGAAGAAACAAAATTAAACCCAAGTGAAAATTGATAGGATTTCTGAATTCGTTTTCTTCGGTTATTTTAAATGATACTTTTTGGAGGAATGAGGTATATAATTGTATCTAAACTTCATTTTTAATGGGTATACTATTCTTTATTTCTAATAAGCAGATATAAAAGGCTAGGGGTAATAGACATTGTTAATCTCCAGTGCTTTTTCATGAATTTTTCACAAGGGTTTAATTAATCTGCTCTGTGGTTGTAGAATTTAGTCCCAATTTACATGCCTCTGCTGTAAATTCTTTTTTTTTTATTCTTGTCTTCTTTTTTTCCTCTTTGCAAAGAATTTTTCTTTCCCCTTTAAATGACTGCAGTTAATGAATGGTCAAGGGCTTTTCCCCCCCTTTTAAAATCAGATCTTGGGGTTAAGTCGGGAAACTGCCTTTTGTTCTTCCAGTCAGGTCGTGAGGCTGAAGATGTGGGTTTCTGATTATTGGCGGCACAATGCAAAGGGAATCACTTTCCTTAGTGAGAAGGGGATGCTTTGTTGCTGGGATGGGTGGGGGGGGGCTCAGTACCAGTATCCTGAGCACTGAAATTCATGCAGTTTTACTAGACCCTTTAAAAGACTAAGGATGGGTTTTTCAAATCTGCCATCTTATTGCCATACCCTCCCTTTCCTCTCTTAACTTCATCTGCATATTGCCATTAATTTGTGACCCTTTAATAAATGTTGAAGTCATGTCAACCTGTATCTGGATGGATACAGACACCTTGGAACTGGGTTTTATAAGACGCTGGTTATATGAAACCTTCAGTTAGAAAAATAAACCAATTACCTCCCTGCCCCATTACAAAAAGTCAGTTTCTGGAGAATCATAAACTATGCTAAGGTGCAACTTGTTCTCTATCACATACTGTAGCTGTGTTAGTGCTCATTTGACTCATTGCCAGCCCTATTAATGTCGCATGTTGCTGCCAGTGGGAATTTAGTATTGGGATTGCTGGCGGGGACACCAGCCAGTTCCTGGCAGGAGGCAGGAGCCAGTCGGATAGCCTGCAAACAAAAGCCCCGTGGTTCACATCAACCAAAACACCAAACCAACCGTCTTTCGTTTCCGTCCAGGCTTCTTATCAGGACTGGCTCCTGTTTGGAAGAGCCGATTGATAGCCAATCATGCCATCCCCCAGGGGTTAGAAGCAGCTTTGGCTCCTGGGCTGTGGGCTGCAGGCATAATGCTCCTCAGTCACATTCTTCAGCTGTGCGAGACGCAACGCCATGGCACCGGCCCCAACAAAGGCCCGGCTTCCCTCTCCATTCCCAGGCCCTTGTGTATGGCCGGCTGGCTCAGAGTTTACAAAGACACCAAACAGCCAGAAGAATTGGGGTTTATGTTTCCTTTCAGTCTTTCACAAACACATTAGTGATCTGGCCTTTCCTCACCACTAGGGGAATAAGTAGTTACAAAATGCACTGGTTTTGTTTTTTGTTGTTTAAACCTCTGCATTTTGGATGTTTATTATCTGTCTATTCATAATATTTTTATTTGGAGCAGGCAATTTCTTCTTGGCTTACGAAGGAATGTGCTTTCTGTATGTAGCAGCCCTGATGATTTGACAATGATGAACACATTTAAGTTGTGCTCCACTTGTTTACAAAAGTCTCCTTTTGCTAGCACATCAAAAGCATTTTTTCTCTCCTCTAGTACAATAGTATATTCATGCTGTCAGCCTTTACTTAGAGGTTAGAAGCGTCACTTTATTGGCGCTTACCACAGTGCAGTCTGAAACTTCATTTGTTATTACTTTTTTAAAATTGCATTTCACGGAAATCTATTTGTGGTTTGTGACATTGTAGTTGTAGTTTAGAGAAATGACCCCATGCATTAAAATGTTATGTAGCTATTAAAGTGTTTGTTCTAGGTTGAAGGTGAAAGGTTGATGACCAAATTGGGTTTCATTGATATGCTGATGCCTGTATTCCTTTCCACTACAAAGCTTAGGTAGAAGCTCAGCTGGGGACTGTGGCTGGCAGCGGGTGTTCTTTGGGAAGGACACACAATCTTCTGGAAACCAGCCGTTCTTTCCAGTAGCTGCCATTGGACTACCTGAAAGCGATGGATAATGTGGATCTAACTCCTTTTCTTGCCATGCATAAAGCCCTAGAGTGCAAAGGAGAAAATGTTTAGAAGTTCACTGTTTGCCATGAATGAAGCATCCTTGTTTGTCACTTGGGGTTTCCATTTCCAAGTTCTTCTAATTTTGTACCGTAGATATCAGGTAAAAATAAGAAACCTCATAATCCCAAGAAGCACGTATGACAAGAAAACACGTACAGCGTATTTTGTTGAAGGGATTCAGTGCTTCCTGTAAAACTCTAGACTCCTTCAAATCTAAAAGTGACTTACAGGATAATCAGTGAAGATATATACTGTGAGCATGTGAATTTTGTGTACTGTGCCTCGTGTTGTCTTTTTACTAGGAGCAAAGGAGGTACATGCTTTAATTTAAAATAAATTGAAGCCCTTGTATTTGAAATAGCAAGCTTATCATAATACAAACATTGCATTAGTCAAAGTTTTCATTAAATGAAAAGCCACTAGAATTCCAAGGAACACCTTCATTTGTGTTTTCCAACCGTGCACTCAAGGATCTCAGAGGTTTTCTTTTGAAAAATGAAAGAAAGGAATTGGTATGCCAGGATTTAACTGATTTATGTTTTTGACTCTTGTAAACAGAACCTGGAACTAAGAGATCCTAGGAAGTCTCTGGGTAAACTGACATGTTATTCTGGATCCAGCCTTAGGTTTGTCAGCTCAGAGCCTTACAGTGACAGCCACTGACACACGGAGGAATGAATAAAGCAGTATAATGGAAGATTCTTGATTGGGTTTCCTTGCTGTAGAACAAAGCATTCATCTGGCCATTTCCCACTTTAGAGAGCGAGTGATCCATCATGACTAAATGCAGTTTGGTGTAATGGAAATAGATATAATAACATGAATTAATTATGATGCATGTCTTCTCCCACCCCACACAGGAACGACAGTAAAATAATCAGACTGATTACCCAAGGCCAAACTAATGATTTACTTTTTATGCTGTATTGTTCTTCTCCAAACCTCATATTAGATGCTATGCTGATGGTAGCAGAGAGGCTAGAGGGTCCTTTCAACATTGAATCGGTCATGGATCCCATCGATGTGAAGATTTCTGATGCTATTATGAACATGCAGGATAATAGTGTGCAAGTGTCTCAGAAGGTAATGAAGGCAGGATACTGGAAAGGAGAGCTGGAGGCCACCTCTGGCTTGCGATATGACTTCCCTAATGTGATCGTGCTTACTCTAATGCAGGTTTTCCAGGGATGTGGACCCCCTAAGCCTCTCCCAGCTGGACGGATTTCTCGTTCCATCTCTGAAGGTGCCTTCAGTGCTCGCTTCAGACCGTATCATCCCGAGGAACGCCCAACCACAGCAGCTGGCACTAGTTTGGACCGACTGGTGAGCACTTTGGCAGGAATGGCCATGTTTAATGACAAAGAACTGAAAACATTTGCTCAAAATGAACTTTTAGTTGGAAGGTTTACAAATGTGAGTCTTTCAGGTATAACTTTTCAAGCAAGCGAATGTCAATAAATTTGCCTCTCTGGTTTTCTAGCTCAGAAAGTTCTTCCGTAGTCAAGGAAATGTGATGCAGTAAACCTTTGTCTCGAAATTTCCCTTTAGTTTCACCTTGTATTTACTGAACATCTATGATGTACCTATCACTGTGCCAGGCTCAGAGAGGCTCAGAGGAATAAGGTAGGACCTTGTTCTCAAACGGTCCCAACAAGGAGGCAAAGAGGGAGAAACAGATGTTCCTGGCTTACTAACATAAGGTGATGTGTAGTAAATGTTAGGATGGGAGATGAGTAAAAAATATATATAGACAAATTGCTTTATACACAGCAACATGCTGCAAAAATGTAAGAGAGTGTTAATATAGTAGTAGGAGGGAACACAGAAGAGGGAGCCTGAGGAGATAAGAGTGGGTGGGGAGAAAGAGTAATAACAGCCAAGTTTCACTGAGTAGGTAATATATAAGCTTGATTCTCACTATAAAAGTCTGGGGAGAAGAGACTGTGTGTTGTCATTGTGTCTACAGGGTAAGGGACCTGGTAGACCCCAGTTGGCACTTATAAAGAATAGGTAGACTGGACAGTGGATCTAGACAACTCCTGCAGAGCTTGCATTTCAACTCTTAATTCATTTGAGTGGTTCTGTACTTCTAAGTATAAATTTGACCTGCATCTTTTTGAAAATGAATTGCCTGTCACTCTGGATGTACTTTAGAAATAATCAAAAGGCACATCTATAGGTAGTTTTGTGTTGTCTCACAATGGTCTTTTTTTCCTTAATTAGGTTACTGATGTCAAGGAGAAACTGAAACAGGCCAAGAAATTCTGGTCCTCTCTTCCGAGCAATGTTTGCAATGATGAGAGGATGGCTGCAGGAAATGGCAATGAGGATGACTGCTGGAATGGAAAAGGCAAAAGCAGGTTAGTCTCTGTTGAAGGAATTTGCAGTCTTTCCCTCCCTAGATGCCTGGGTGTTCTTCAGAGAGGGTTCTGTCAGTTGTCAGTCAAGGAAACAGGAAGCAGTTCACTTTGCAGAGAAGTTTTGAGAAGGTACCCAGCCACTTACAAAGAGTGCTAGTTCAAAAGTTTGGCTGGAGTTATACTCTGGTATTGGGGCTGTTCTGATGTCATTATAATAATGATGATGTTGATGATAATGATGATGATGTCTGAGTCTCACAAGTGCAGTGGCATGTTCACGGCTACCATAGCCTCAACCTTCTGGGCTCAGGCAATCCTTCCACTTCAGCCTTCCAAGTAGCTGGAACTACAGGTATGAACCACCATGCTGGGCTAATTTTTTTTCATTGTAGAGATGAGGTCTCACCAAGTTGCCCAGGCTGATCTCAAACCCCTGGGCTCAGGCAGCCCTCTTACCTCCACCTCCCAAAGTGCTGGGATTATAGGCATGAGCCACTGCACCTGACCATTAGTGTCATTAATTCTTAAATGTTTAATGCCTGTGGCCCTTTGCCCAATGGCCTGGCCTCATAATATACCAGTTCTCAAAAGATCGTATTCTTTAACTTGATGATGCCATGCATCCTTTCCTTACACACCCAGTAACTTAGATAAGTACCCTTCTGGAGCACTTTACTTTGACCCACCAACCTCCATGCAAGGGGTAGGTTTCAAGAAACTTTTGGTCAAATTGGAGAAACGAGGCATATGGAGGAAAAGGAGAGATTAGAGTTCATTAGTAAATTGAAAAATTCCATTTAATTGTTCTCAGTGTAAATACTAGAATCTAGCAGAAATATTTGGTGATCTTTTCTCTTTTTTTGCTTTACTAATCATCTTACTGGGGTCATTTCTCATTTCAGGTACCTGTTTGCAGTGACAGGAAATGGATTAGCCAACCAGGGCAACAATCCAGAGGTCCAGGTTGATACCAGCAAACCAGACACAGTGGTCCTTCGTCAAATCATGGCTCTTCGGGTTATGACCAGCAAAATGAAGAATGCTTACAATGGGAATGATGTGGACTTCTTTGATATCAGTAAGCATTTGTGGTTTTAAAGTACATGTTGTTCTCGTATGCTTTCTGATGAGAACAAGTGGAATGAAATCTCTATTCCGTTTTTTAAAACATAGGTGATGAAAATAGTGGAGAAGGCAGTGGAAGTGGATGTGAGTATCAGCAGTGCCCTTCGGAGTTTGAGTACAACGCCACTGACCATGCTGGGAAGAGTGCCAATGATAAAGCTGACAGTGCTGGTGCCTGTCCTGGGGCACAGCCCTACCTCCTCACTGTCTTCTGCATCTTGTTCCTGGTTATGCAGAGAGAGTGGAGATAATTCTCAAACTCTGAGAAAAAGTGTTCATCATCAAAAAGTTAAAAGGCACCGGTTATCACTTTTATACCATCCTAGTGACTTTGCTTTTTAAGTGAATGGACAACAGTGTACAGTTTTTACTATGTGGCCACTGGTTTAAAAAAATGCTGACTTTGTTTATGCATTCAGTTGGGGGGGAGAGGGACTTGTACATTAAGTTGGTTCCTTCTTCCCCAGAATCATGTTAAATGTGGCTGACATGTAGGTACAGAACTGTAGTTAGTTGTGCATTTGTGATTTTATCACTCTATTGTTTGTTTTTTTCTTCATTTTGTTTGTGGGTTTTTTCAACTATGATCTCACCTTGTTTCTTACAAGAAAACCAGGGTCCTTTCTTGGCATGTAACATGTACGTATTTCTGAAATATTAAATAGCTGTACAGAAGCAGGTTTTATTTATCATGTTATCTTATTAAAAGAAAAAGCCCAGCAAGCAGTAAAATTTCCATCTATCTCTGTTATTTTAGCTGCCTTATCTGGTAAGAAATGGAGATGATTTTGTTTTTTTAATTATTATTAAGTTAGGCTAGAATGTGAAGGCACAAGTAGGCTTCTGAGCCACTTGTCAGACTGCATTCAAGCATCAATCTAAGAAGGTTATACGTACTTCATTTATAGCTGGTGTTTGGAAGAGACTACAGACTACCTGTATTGATTGAGTTCAACTACACGAACAAAGATCATGTATAGGTTCATTTCTTGCACCTACTTATATTTCAAGTGTAACCCATTGAGAAAAAAATTCTTGATGTAGTCTCCCTTAAAAGATGTAAGACTTTCAGGATGTCCTGGTTATCACATGTTCACGCTTGGGTTTGGGGGGTGTGTGTTTTTTTTTTTTTTTTTTTTTGTTAAACCAGGCAAGTTAACTAGCCACTGTGTGCTAGTTTTATGTCCACACTGACCCTCTTTGAATTGATATCCCAATGGCAGTGATAAGTGACCAACAATCTAATTTGGTCGCCCTTGTTACAGTGGTCCAGATTTTAAGCCTAACCGTATACAGGGAGCTGTCTGGGAGCTAGCCAGAACTGGGGTACAGCCTGGGCTCAGGGAATAGCTGTCAACACTTGAGAAAAGTTTTTGTCTGCACATATGTATTTGCATTTGTTTTTGGATCCCAGTTTTTGTTTTAAGAGAGTATAAGGTGTCTTATTTAAGTCTTTTTCTTGCCCAACTCCTTCTTCAGTAAAACAAAGGACTTGTAGTGGTTTATAGCAGTGTACTGCCATATCAGCCAAGGAGCCCACTTGGGGGAGAACTGGGCGTCCAGATTTTTTCATGTGTTTTTTTTGGTGGGGGGTAGTGGGTGGGAGTAGGTAGAGCTGGGAAAACTACATCTTAGCGGTGACCCTTAACCACGTTGGTGAACTGGCAAAGGCCATATCTGTTGTCCCAGGCCAAAGAATAACAACTGCCTTGGCCCCTTGGGAGCCCTATCCTTGTGTCCTTCCAAATGACAACTCATAAAACTATGAAAATGTAACAAATCACTTTAAAAGGAGTTCCCAAAAGTCTTCAGATAGCCTAAAATTCTGCAAATCTCTTCCTGCTTTAGACAGAGGTTAAGAATCCCAACTAATTCTATAGAACCTAAAACCCACAAAGAGGTTGTTTGTTATTGTTCAATCTTCAGTTGTAAAAGTAATTCTCTATTTTTATATTGAAACATAATTACTTGATAGCTCAGGGTCTACATTTCATTCAACTTTTTACACCAAAATCTGCAGAATGGTCAAAATGGAATATTGAGGGCTGTTGTAAACAGAGGCTTAATTTTATTAGAAGTAGCCAGTTATTTATTAAAGCATGATGTTAATAAAATAGGCATATTCTGACTGGTGTGTATAAGTGTTTTTTTTTTAACAAATCACAGAAGACAAAATTAAAAAGGCACTCCATTTATGTATGAGGAAAACTAGATTGTAAATAGCTAAGCTGCCTTGTGAGATCTTGGAAAATGTGCTGATTCTTAGTAACTACCTCAGTTGTGAGGAATTTCCTTTTTAGCTTAGACTGCTATTACTTTTACTTGGTAGAAATGAATCTGGTCTCCAAAATATAGCTCAAAGAGTTATCCCCATAGACCTTGTTAGATTGTTTTTAATTTAAAACCTTGAACTCTGTCCAGCTGTTTTCTTTCAGTGAAGTTTTCTAAACCAATAACATTTTCCGAATTAAATATTCTTGAAGGTTCTTCTGGACTCTTACTGATTTGTTTTCTTTCTTTGCATTTTTCCTGTTACCCTCTTATTATTTAAATTGTCTCTTGCTTTTGAACTTGAACTATGGAATAAACAAATCGTAGATTTTTCCATTCAGGTCTGACTGGATAACTCTTGGCTTCCAACCAGCTGGCAGGATCACCCCTACTCCCCCAAAAAGAATAAAAGCAAGTTGAATATTTTAAAACCTTAAGAGTTTGGAGTATGGTAGAATAAAAGCTTTGTTAGGAGAAGACTTGACGTTTCTAAAGTTAATAGCATGTGAAGGGCTTGTGTTTTACAAAGTCATTTATAAATTATTTTTCTTTCAAGTACTTCACCTACTGTGCGACAGAGTGAGACCATCACTCAAAAACAAACAAGCAAACAAAAACAAAAACAAAAAACACATAAAAAGGAATTTTAGAAGATTAGGAACCTTAAAAACCATTTTATAACTCTTCAATATATATTTTATTTCAAAAATAGTAACTAGCACCTATTTTTATTAAAAGACACTGCAAAAAATTGACTTTAAAGTTACTGAGTGTTCAAAACCTACAAGTTTACATGAAGCAAAAATTTTCATTTGTGATTCCAGAACCAAAATAAAAATAGGTGTAAATGGTTTGACACAAAGTTCTATTTCCTCTTTTGCGTTAGCAGACTATGTCCATTTACATAAAGGGTAGGAAGTTACTAACAATTATCTACTAGAGAAGAGATAGTGTGTGTGATTTCACTGTTGAGCAAACACCACCAAACTACCAAATGCAACTTTTTGGAATGACAGAAAAGTATTCAGAACTTACTAGGAAAAAAATTTAACTGTGCATTCTATGATAAACTTTCAAAACTCGGTTTCTGTTTTTTAGTTCCTAATTCTTCCAAAATTCCTTTTTATGTGTTTTTGTTTTTGTTTTTGTTTGCTTGATTGTTTTTGAGTGATGGTCTCACTCTGTCTCTCAGGCTGGAGTGCAGTGGCATGATCATGATTATCATGGTGTACGGCAGCCTTGACTTCCTGAATTCAGGCAATCCTCCCACCTTAGCTTACTGAATAGCTGGGACTACAGAGGTGCGCCAAAATGCTTAGCTAATTTTATTTTTATTTTTTTGTGGAGACGAGGTTTCGCTATGTTGCCCAGGCTGGTCTTGACCTCCTGGGCTCAAGCAATCCACTTGCCTCGGCCTCCCAAAGTGTTGGGGTTACAGGGGTGAGCCACCATACTCAGTTCCTTTATATATATATGTGAAAAAAATCTGAAAGATAACATGTGGTAACAGGAATTCTAGTCCATCAGTTAGCCAAATGCCATTTAATATTTACTTGTCTACTTTAGTTTTTAATTAGGTACTATATTGGCAGGGTTCAAAACCAAAACATAGGATTGGGTGAGTTTTCCTTCCATTTCTGCATTAATCTGCCCAGTTAGTTTCGGCCAAAGTGAACTTTTACTAGTTGCTTATATATGTCTTCCAAAGTTTATTTGTGCATGTGCAAGCAAATATTAATAATTTTTTTTAAATATGAAAGGTAGCATTTTATGATTATAATGTCCTATTTCTTTAGGTAAATTTTCAAAATATTGAGAGTGGGGGCTCTGAAAATACAGATCTGTAATTAACTAAGTTTAGGCTTCCTATGCTAAAGGCATGGCTTCTCAGTGGTGTCACATTTTGATTTTTGCTACATTTTGGCCCAGATTAATCTTGGCCGTTTTCAAGGAACAATATAATCCCAGAGTGCAAAATTAGGATGCCTCCTCTGTTAAAGTTTATTTTGGGTAGGTTTTTTCCACCCCCCCATATTATCACCAGTGAAGAAGACATTGGCCAAAGCAGTTGGGAAGATCCTCTCAGGACACAGTATATTAGTACCACTGTTAATGCTTGGAAATGGTTAACAGGATCTGTTGTACCTGGGAATTTATTCATGTTCTATTAGAATAAAGTACTCTTAATGCTTTCTCAAGCCTTGAAGTAGCATCCACTACCACACAGTATGAAGATGAAGACATTAGGAAAATGTGTAACTAAACCATGGTTACTGTGTCTAATGGTTAAGGAGTTAATAGAATATGCAAATAATTGTCCCAGGTTCAGTTTTTTGGTCAAGATGAATTTGTATGAATCAGTATTTGTAGAGACTTCTGAGTTCATCATTAATCAGTACAATCTACAAAAATGGATTTCACAGCAGGAATGTCCACATGTGGAATGAAATGTTCATTTTGCTCTACTTTTGACATTCCTTAAATGTTAGGAATTCTGAATCAACACACAGGGTTCTTGGAAAGGAAAAGATCTTAGTGCCATCAATCCTACCAGGTAAAAGCTGGTAAAAGATGACAAGTGTGATTAAAAATTAAAGATAAATCTATGTGTTGTGACCCAAAAAGGGTTTTGTTATCTTGTTCTTGGACTTTGGGGAAGGCTTTGGCAATAACTTCCTTGCCGCTCCATGTTTATTCTTAACTTTTGTATTTATTGCATGATAGGGTTAGAAGACGTGTGTGTGTGTGTGTGTGTGTGTGTACAGACCTATACATGCGCACACACATACACAGGCTTATTTATTGTATATTTTCAAACACTTAATACCAGGTAGACTTACTCTGCCACTTGTGGGCTGCCTTCCCTAGGCTGGTGTGTGCTTGGGGAATGTAGACTAATTTTAATAATAGCCTAAGGGAAAGATAATGAAGAAGGTAAGTCTCCTGCCAAGAAAAAGAAAATGCACCCATATAAAAAGCATTCCAGAACCCAAACAGGATTTCTTAGATTTACCACTGCCTGGGTTTGCTTTTATGCATCACCACAGATAACCTAAAGCTGACTATATCCCACTGTTCCTGGTGACTCACTGCACAGGACATTTTGGTGCCAGGTCTGTCACAAAGATATAATCATGACCATGACCAGTGGCTGATTTTCTGAACACGCACATTAGGATCTTGGTCCTCTTTCAGTGCATTTGTCTTTAAAGGTCCTTCCTTCCCCTGCCCTCCACTCACTCTCTCTGTCTCTCTCTCTGTCTCTCTCTGTCTCTCTGTCTCTCTGTCTCTCTCTCTGTCTCTCTCTCTCTCTCTCTCTCTCGTGCGCGCGCGCGCGCAGGATTTATTACAAGGACAGAAAAGCTCCCACGTTGGGAGGGGACCTGAAGGGATTGCCCCTCACCTCTCTTTTATAAAATGTAATGAAAAAATGGTTTCTACTCTGCTATTTCAGTTCTGAATAGTTTGCAGCAAGTTCTGGCAAACAGCAATGAACATTCAGACATGTTTTTTGAAAAAAGAAACCTAGTTATTTGCTGTTTATTTACCTGTAATATCCTGACTGAGAAGTGAGGCAGGAAGAACCCATAGGCCTGGCACTAAGGCTA